CATCTAACGCCAGGTGTCGCGACTTACCATTATACACTTAGTTATAAACTTTAACCAAGACTTTTTAACTATCAGAGATAGAAACTGGTGATACTATTCGGCCAAAACAGAATCTTATAAATTAAATTATTTATTCAATATTCTGTTTACTAGCATATGCTAATGCTACAAATTTTTATTTTATAGTCAAATTTTTTCATGCAAATTTGCTATTTGGAAGCCCATGAAATGGTACCTCCCCAAGCAAATACACTCAACCACTTATAGAAGAATGATCTTCTATATTGATAATCAAATTTGCATCTAAATACCCTTCTACCAACGAAGGAAATTTGACATAAAACAAACCATAATTTATGTTTTCATTCAAACACTCGAGTTGTGATATTTATTGTCCTTCAAAAGACCCAGTCTTCACACTCGCATCCATGGGAGTTGTCATTGGAGAACAATCTCACAATCAAACGTCTTAACAACTTTCTCAATATAAAGAGAGTTTGTTAAAGATAGTTTTTTATTTGTATGTGTGATTCAAATTTCAAGAATCACATCCACCTCCCCCATGTCTTTCATTGTAAATCTTGATGACAATAATGCTTTTGTAAACTCTACTTATCTATGGCTAGTGCCAAAGATCAATATGTCATCATTATATAAGCAAATGATTATTCCATTACTGAATTCATCAATTTGTTATATAAACACTTATCCTAGTAGTTTAACTCAAACCACTTGATATGACAATCTCATTAAACATTTGATGTTAATACTTAGGTGCTTTCTTTACCATACAAATAAATGTATACATCTTATACTTATTACAAGGTACAATAAAATCTTAAGGCTACTTCATTTACACTTCTTTTTGAGCCATCGATCCATATCATGGATCATAGTCCATAGCACCCGACCATGAACAATATGTTTACCACTCATGATGGCTCGGCCTTAACCCTAATGACTTGCATCCATAAGTATCAATGATATTATGTTCGTTCACTTTTGGTAACATTATGTTCGCACCCTTTCGGTGATGTTATATTCACACCTTCTTGGTGACGTTACATTCTCACCCTTTTGGTGATGTTATATTCACACCTTCTTGGTGACGTTACATTCTCACCCTTTTGGTGATGTTACATTCGCACCCTTTTGGTGATGTTATATTCGCACCCTTTCAGTGAAGTTCCATTTGCACCATTTCGGTAACGTGATATTCGCACATTTTCGGTGACGTTACATTCGCACCTTTTCGATTCCGAACTATTCGCACCCTTTCGGTGCCGAACCATTCACACCCTTTCGGTGCCGAACCATTCGCACCATTTCAGTCACGAACCGTTCGCACTCTTTCGGTCACGAACCGTTCGCACCCTTTCGGTCACGAACCGTTCGCACCCTTTCGGTCCCGAATCCTTCGCACCCTTTCGGTCCCGAACCGTTCGCACCCTTTTGGTCCCGAACCGTTCGCACCCTTTCGGTCCCGAACCGTTTGCACCCTTTCGGTCCCGAATCGTTCACACCCTTTTGATCCCGAACAGTTCGCACCCTTTCAGTCCCGAACCGTTCGCACCGTTTCGGTCCCGAACCGTTCGCACCCTTTCGGTCCCGACATGTTCGCACCCTTTCGGTCCCGACACGTTCGCACCCTTTCGGTGCTGACACGTTCGCACCCTTTCGGTCCCGACACGTTCGCACCCTTTCGGTCCCGACACGTTCGCACCCTTTCACTCACGATACGTTCGCACCTCTTGGGTCACGACACGTTCGTACCTCTTGGGTCACGACACATTCGTACCACTTGGGTCACGACACGTTCGTACCTCTTGGATCATGATACGTTCGTACCTCTTGGATCACGATGCACTCGTATCCCTTGGTTAACGATATGATCACACCCTTTGGATGACACCCCTTGATGACATCTTTTGGTGGTATCCCTTGGTGGCATCCCTTGATGACATCCTTTGGTGGCATCCTTTGATGGCACTCTTTGGTGGTACCGTGTTCGATCATCATTAGCAATACTATTTAAAATGAAACTAACATACCTTTGAGAATATTATTCTCCATTGTTTCATCTTCTTTCTCCATCTTTAAAAGTGTACTCACTCAAACATTTACAACTTTTCAGACTTTGATCTATCTCTCGCACAAATATACTAATCATAGTTCACAAGAAAATACTCTTTAAGATTGTTGGATATTCGGGTTGTAACCCAGAAATTTGTGAATTATATACTTGGATAATGATTGAATCGCGCACGAGGTCACTTTCCTTAAAGAGTATTTCGACCCTATTCCAAGCCTTTGGGTTACACGAAATCCCTTTGTAGGATAAGACAATCAAAGTCACATTCTTGTTCTAGGCTAAGATACAAAAATAACAAATAGAGTTTCAATGCTTATATGTGTTTCTTCAAAGATCTTTGATGATCTTTGAATAATAAATCTATTTCTCTCTTACTCTCTTACTAACTATTAGTTTCTGATTTTTTCTCTGTCTCTTTTGCCAATGTCTACATCTCTTTATATAGAGAGTGAAAGGTTGCAACCAATGGTTGCAATGGTTAATCCAAAAGATGCAATGGTTAGTACTAATAGTTGCAATGGTTAATGAAGAGTTGCAATTGTTAATACCAACAATTATAATGGTTAGTAAATAGTTACAATGGTTAATCATCAAGGGTTGCAATCACTAATATGGTTAATCATCAAAGGTTGCAAATATTAATATGGTTATCACCAAAGGTTGCAATCATTAATATGGTTATTACCAAAGGTTGTAATCATCAATAGTTGCAAGCTTTTATTCATGTAGTTGCAATTATTCACATAAACAATTGCAATGGTTCCTTGCACCCTTTCACTTAAACCATTTCACTTAAACCCTTTCACTTAAATATATAACATTTCCGGCGTTAACTTTCACGCCTCCTTTTCCCACTTGGACGTTGGTGGTTTTCTCATCGGTAAAATCTGTAACATCGAAATAATATAGAAAATAAATAATAAATAATATGTGAAAATTCACTCATCAATAAAATGAAAATAGTAATATAGAAAGTAGATATTAGACCATTTCAATATATTTTACTATTTAAAAAGGTAATTTTATAATTAAACTGAATTTATTTCAATGTATTTTCTAAAATAATATTTATCATAAAAAGATAGGAACATTTTATTTTTATTAATATATCAAAACAGATATTTTATAAAAAAACATTTATACTTTTTACTCTATATGATATTATAAAGATAAATATTGAGATATGTTAGAAATAATCTAATAATCACAAACTATCAGAGATTGTATAACCATTCTGCTTGGGACACATAGAAACATATATATAAACTAAAGTAAAAAGAAATTAACCTGGCGTAAAAAGAGTATGGAGAGAGTTTGGCATGGGAGTGTTTGGTAAGGCAGTGTTCCAATAACGCTCTGGTGATAAGTCAGCTCCAATGGCCGTGACTGAAACAAGAATACATATCAAAGGGAGGCGAATCAACATTTTCTTGTAGTGTATTTTGATGAATTTGAGGAGATGAAGTGGGAGTGTACGTATAATTTATAATGAAATGGTTTTAGTAGAAAGATCTGATGAGGTTGAAGTTAGCATGGCGGCTAACACTTACCAATTTATTTGGGCCGATTAATTATGTCACATACTCTCTAACCACCACTTTCCTCCTGCCCTTAAATGCTCCTTGTGTCCATGTGTGGACATGTGTGTTTAATTTCACCTGTTTTTCTGTTCGGCGTAGTTACGTTACGTACGAATGCAAATAATCCTTTGTATTAAAAATATGCAGTTATCACTTCAAATTACGGTAAGGGAATGCACATCATTCAATTAACAAAAACCAAAAGAATAACGAAAGTTTATAGTAGTTTTTTTTTTATTTCCTCTCATAGTTTTGTTATTTTAATGGACCGACAGGTTCCATATAATTAAGACAATGACACTATGCTTCGTAGAGTTTTAGTATCATCTATATTCCTTTTAACATAGCTAGGTGCGCGGAATAAACATTTCTTTTTAAATAGACTATTAGATATTGTAAATATGAAAATAGAGAATGTTTTAGCTACAAAGCATCACAACTAGTTACAAAACCAATGGTGCATGTCAATTTACTATCCATGAGTAGACTCTAGGGCGACTCCAAAGAGCATATCCGTAACATGAGAGTATGTTCTTTGATCAAATCCATAGAGTTTTGGTAATTTCCCTTTTTAAAATCAAATATTCTATCAAACTCAAATTACATTAATGAAGGACGATCTCCGGCGGCTTTTAGGTATCATGTGGCCATGATTTATTTTCACATCGATCGAGAAGAGTTTCAAAATCAAACCAAGAGAGACAGTGAAGATATGGCAGTCGTAACTTCCGTGTGGACTTTTCATACAAAGAGAAAATTAAAATGATCAACCAGATCATTTATGGCTTACCAATACATTCGTTTTCACTATTATTCTCGACTTTATGTTTTTGTAACCATGGTAGGAGAACGAATGTATAATGTATATTAATGTTAATAAAACCGTTACATTGAAAAACCATGGGCCTCTTATCTAAAAGGCCTAACATAAATCATGAACTCAACCCAATACCCCCAATGTGATTGTTCAAACCAAAAACTTTTAGAATTTAATTTCAAACATCTATGTTTCAGAGTTCTGACGTAACAGTGCGTGACCTTCCCCAAGAAATTTTGTATCTAGAAATAGCACATACCATGCAAATACTTTTGTAACGTTTTGTTATCATCGAAATGGGAAATTATTCAACAGAAAAGAGGCTTGATGTAACAGACACACACACGTTGAGATATATCGTTTGCTTTCTTACTAGTAACAGAAATAAAGTGAAAAATTTAGAATAAAGGAGGATCTAGTAGGAGTAATGGCGTGGGTTAGTGAGTGTGTCATTACACTGTCATGCTTTCACCAACCATTAGGCCCACAACTTCTGTTTTGCTCCAATTTTAATTATGTTACTTAGTTAATTTAGACAATAACACTTTGACTAGTGTTTCACAGTTGACTGTTAAACGTTATTAATTCATTATTACTACATCCATCCCTTTCGTAAAGAAGATCAAGTTGACATATTTCACACATATTAAAAATAATTGAGATATATTTATATTTTTGTTAATTATATCTATTTAATCAATGATATTTGAAATAAATAAAAATATTTTTAAATCAATATATTTTATAATTGATTAAAGTTTAGAGTAAATATAAATTAAATTGAAATTGTAAAAAAAACACTTTTTTGTGTAAAAAGAAAAATATCAAAATAACATTCTTTGTACAACCGAAAATGTATTAAACAACTCAATAGAAGAAGTATAGAAACGAGTAACATCGTTTTCTACGAAAACAGATACATTAATTTTGTTGCTCAAAAAAAAAAAGATACTTCAATTTTTGATGAATGATACGTTGAAATAGTGGCAACCGATTTTAAGCTGCTTAGCTATGAATGGGTCTTAATTAAAACTCTCAACAACGCCTGTATATTTAACCAGTAGGTTAACGGGTGATCTTGTAATATTATGTATCTACTTTTTAACATTTGGTCTAATGTATCTATTTTAACATTAATCTAGCTAATGTAATTTTAACATTAATATAATGTATGTTACTGCTGGAAAATATAAACTGATACCCACCTTAACTTCGTAACTACGCATTGAAAAGATGGTGCTTAACTATCGCTAGCTAATTTCCGCCTTGGGTATAATCTGTTTCTATAATAAAAACTTTCCAACGCGAAAATAAAATGTGAGACAAAAATACAGGTTAGAAACAGAGGGTAAGCTCTCTTTTTTTTCATAAATAACAACAGAAAATCACAAATCTTTGTCTAGCTAGTTATGCACTGCTTAAGAACATAGACTAACAACAATACACATCATATATAAACGAATAAAGAAAATTGAATATCTATTATATATAAAACAAAATGTAATAAAATTGGAGAAAGTGGGAACCAACTGTAGAATATTTGCAAACATTCATCACTTTTCGGTTATATTTAAGTGCATGAAGGTGTTTATAATGAACTTTTTTCGAGTAAGGTGAAGAAAGCTCTGATACTAAGGTCTAAGAATATATCATCAGTTATTATTTCTCTTGTCATGTAGGCTAAGAAAAAAGAATAGAAGAGAGAACCAAGTATCCAGTAATGAGCATGCACAATCACGATCCGTCTCCTTCGATTGACCTATTAAAGGGAAAAAGGAGAGAAGAGTGGACCCTAAAGTGAAGAGACATCACTTTTTTGTAATCTTAATCGCTTGCATTACACTGGAAAGGCATAAGTATCTTCTGAGACCTTTTACTTAGGACCACCCTTTGCACCTCATTTCCACACTTACTTCCACTATAGAATCTTTGTCTCATCTCTTCGCATGTGTAAGAGAGGGAGAGAGAGAGAGGTTTGTGTGTACTCATCTGTTTTTTAACACATGCATCCCTATATAAATACACCTTTCTTCATTATGAAATTTTTATCAATTCTCGACATGTTATTTAGTAAAAATGATTAAAAGGAAAAAACTGATTCACAATGACGTCGAATATGAACTATGTAATATTGTTCCATTATGCCATCTAACTAAATTTTTTTCCTTTTTTACAACTTTGTAACCATGATTATGTTTTATTTTGCAACCCCAATTTCATCACACTCTTACTTACAACGTATTTAGCTTCCCACTTTAAAATGACAAGAACATTACTTATTATATGGTTGTATGGTGTCTGACAGTGGCATCCAAACTCGCTAACTCATTTTCTAAGATTTTAATATATGGAATTGGTTTAAACCAAAATATTCCAGCTACTGAACTATTTCAGCCTATATTTTGTATAATAATAAGAATGGGTCATGATTACATATGACCTTCATATCATACTTTTTGTGTTGGGCTACCACGTGCTATTTAGCTATACATTTTTAATTATTGTTGCTTTTAAGAGTACATGATTTGATGCTGATTGTACATTGATTGGAGATAGATGAAAGGATGCACGGCAAAAAAACCACTGAATTTCTTTTTGTTACTATGAGATGTTGAAGAGTAATTTTTATCACATCAGTTGATGCATTTCTCTACCTATACGACGCCTTTCTAGGTTTAGTCAAACTATTCAGTAGTGTTATTCATAAATTTTAATAATATTTTAGCGATCTCACCGTATAGCTTATGTTGAGGAGGCAGCTCTGAAACTGATGTTAAGACCTCCGACATGTCGGGATGCATGTCTTATGTTGATGAAGTAGGCGGCATGTGATGTACATCACAAATCAAAATTCTAGTGGTAGCTTTGAATCAAAGTGATATTAGTTGATGCTGACAATTCATATATAAATGTGAGCCAAGGAACAAAATCTTTTGCAAAGTAATTTTCTAGATTCGTTGCAAGTCCACTGCAAGATCATGACTGTTTTGATTTGTTGAAGTATCTGTTTTAGGGTTTGGGTGTAAATATTAATATTAAGATCATCTGAATTTATCAAACTTGACAATATGATCCTTCCAATAATTTTTTCTCTTTAAATGTCTACAAATTTTGATAACAAAAATTACAGTTAACTATAGTACAACCCCAATTCATTTACATATCATAAAACTTGTATCTCCATTGAATTCCGTTTCCAGATTCATTTACACTTGTTTGTTTTAAAATACGATAAAGATAAATATTACATATGAACCAAACTGATGATAATTATTCATGAATATTATTTCCAACATGATCTAATATGAGACTTGGTAAACGAATATAATCTGCATAACTGTAAGTGTAAACATTAAAATTTGGTGTAAACACAACTATTGAAATTAGTATATGAGGTTTCATTAGAAGAAAACATGTTTCAAAAATAAAGAAGGAAAACAAAAGTATTGGTGAAGTTTGGTGTATTGAAATTAGTATATGAGGTTTCATTAGAAGAAAACATGTTTCAAAAATAAAGAAGGAAAACAAAAGTATTGGTAAAGTTTGGTGTGGCTTTTATTAGTTAAAATCCCCGTGAGTAATTATGGAGGGATGTATTGTCACGTCAAATCTGCTGACAGGTAATTTAGAATCCGAGATTACTCTTTTAATCATTGATCAATCAAAGCCTTAACGATCCATAACCGTGGGATGATAGGACCAGTCATGTTTGGCTACTAATCTCACTTCCCAATATGTTTTTTTTTTCTCATTCTAATTAAATTTATTTAACAAAAAAACATTAACGAATACAAAACTGAATGGTCCATTTGAGACCGTTGAGATAATGAATGCAAAGGACCAGTGAGAGTTCAAAGCTCGTGGAATCGGATGGTTCATAGACAATTAGGACCCATGAGTGCCAAATGTACGAGAGCAGCTGGATTGTCCAGCGAGATCACTTCCCTTGTTGTGGAGGAGAAGAATATGCATTTACCAGACTCATATGGACCACATTTTCCCAATAATATATACGAATTTTTGTTAAGTTCCAAACTTATTTCCCTCTCCTGCTTGAACTTATAGTTGCTTTCCTTTTATTGTTTAATTTAAATAATAGTTTATTTCTTTATTTTTATTTTGCAACAAGTTTTTGTTCCACGGGTATTTTTTCCCTTGTTTTATCTATGTTTATAATCTATTAATATCTGTCTAAATGAAATAGCAATTCAACTACAGATAAAATAAAGTAAATCATACTTCAAATTCTAAATTTAAAGACCATCTCCAACCTAACTTTAAAACTCTATTTTACTGTGATTTTTACACAAAAAAAATTCCAATCCAACACTATAAATCAAAATATTTTAATGTAATACTATAATTTTACACCAAATTTGGTGTGCTACTATTTACCACACTAAAACACTATTTATTCCAATAAAAGTTGTTGATTTATTTTATTAGTAAAATATATAATTAAATGAATACCGAATAAGAAAATATATACATATAATTTTATAAAATAGTTTTTATGGTTAAGAATAATTTCCTTTACTGGTGAAACTAAATTAAAATAGTGTTATATGTTGGAGATGTTAATAAATGAATGAGAAGCGGTCACAGTACACAAGTGAGATATCTTATATCATTGTTTAATCCTAGAATTAACTTTAAATTGTTTTTTTCAGTCTTAAGCTATATTTCTACTAACAATGAGGTGCCCTTTAACTGTATTAGTATTAGGCTATGTAATATCTGCATTTAATCATTTACACTTTAAGTATGATATATATTATATTGTCAACAAATGCTTATAATTTGGTACATGGACGAATAACCTAATGGCTACTCCACTTGGTTCGTGTCACTGGGGTTTTGACCCCAAATTCAATTACGTACGACAAAACTCTGGATCTTTTGAAAGAAAATATCATTTAAAGTTTAGGATTGTATTTATAACATAGAGTCTGTTAAAAGAGAAGATGACAATGCCAACTTAGAGAGCTAGTACAAACGATATATTCATGCAATTGCAATGTACTCGAAATTAAAGGATCTCTTTAACGGATCGACATTTCAAATGAAATTTAATCTGTCAAGTAAACTAGAAATGAATGGAAAAAAATTGTCAGTGTATGGCCATAAAAATGCAGGTAGAATATAGAATAGTTCATTTGTGTAGTTAGTGCATGAAAATATCGTCAGACATATTCTGATTTTTCCAAGTCATATATATGAATAAGTTATAGACGCAATCATATATACCGTTTACTGTCGAAGAGCACCACTTTCCAAGATAATTTGGCTGACAAGCCAACTATATAATTCAGAGCCAATAAAAATCACCAACTAAAAAAGGCAAAATTAAAGAAAAAAAGAACTTCAGAAAAAAGCAGAAACATGATTTGAAATGAGCAAGTGCTTCTGCTGTTAAAAATGTGGGACTAGAACTGCAAGATACATGCGATATGTTTGCATTCTTGGGGTCAGCCACTACTAATTACCTCACCAAAAACACTAATTAAAATAAATGGAGATGTTTCAATTTAAAGATTTGATGTTGACAAAAAATAAAATTGAAAGATGTGATTTGGGATCTGAATCTCTGAAATTGTTTCCTAAAATTTCCCCAACAGCTTGGCAAAAGTGTAGGGCTCCAGCTTGTTACTTGAGTGCCTTTTACAAAAGTAAATTTCTGAAAGATCCTTGTTCCATTTTTCCCTTTTCCTTATGTATGCTAGAATTTAATCTCTTATTAAAGCTTCATTATATAAATGACACAGTATAGTCTTAAATTTGAACTAGTTACCGGCCAGTAAAACATTCACATCCCAAGAAAATTCAGATAATGAACCCACATGGTTTTAAGATCAGTATACACTCTCTAATCACATGACTTTCAAGGACAACCACATGGCTAATGGTCCAAAGACTATACGAAGAAATAGAAACAGTACTGTTTAATTTTTCTTTTTCTGTTAAATCTGATTTATATGTCTCAATCTTTTGTGGCCAAAATTTTATAGTTCCTGTGAAGTTACTAGGAATTTGTTGGTACCAATTCAGAACAAATATTCTCCTTGTAAGTGTTAATCAAATAGTTGATATTTGATAAAATTTCTAACATATAATCCTGATACTAACATGTATATATAGCTACTATTTTTTTATATACTATCACTATAAATGTGATCCACCTAATTTGCTTTAGATCACATAAACAGTTTTGTTACACCGGGTTTGATATTTTTACTCATTTATTATATCACCAATTACGATTTTCTATAGGGAAAAGACATGCAAAGTCGTATGGCTCAGATAAAATCATTTGTGATGATTTGGATGAGAGATTGCATGGTGAAGTAATTTTGATTACCTGTTTGACGTCGCTTACCACAAATACATAAAGATTTTCTTAACCTTTTCCATGGAATATCGTATCACACGACCGAGGTAACAAATCTATCTTGAAATCTTAAACCTAACGATCTATCTGACATGGGATCTTGCTAGTATAGATTTATATATATATATATATATATATATAGGTGACTAATTTAATTCAAAAATGTGACAAGAAATCATGTGGAGATCGTACATCTAACAATAATTGGAAAACGGGTCAGAAGAATGATAAATGTGCAGGACTTAATTTCTGACGAATGTACAAGGAGGTGGTCCATATTTATATGATACTTCTATTAGGGAATGAAATCATTTCGACAACGAAATATCATTGACACACTCATTGGACATTTTTTCTAAGTTTTTTGGTTTTTGTAACAATTGAACTCTTTTTTATGTCCGTTGAAAAAGCAAGAGTTTTAATCAAACACAAGTGATATGTATATAACAAAAAACTCACCACAATACTTTGCCAAAAAAAATTGAACTAAAAAGGTAAGAAAAACAAAGAGCATACCTAACTAACGAAAACTAAAGAAAAAGAGGATAAGAAAAGAAAAATTAGAAACATAGAAAGAAGGTATAGAAAGATTTACAAAGTGGGTTATAAGCATGCAAATAGAGAGGGTCCCCTCCTCTCCTTTGGGCAGATGATCATCAATTCCCCCACAATCACTCTCACCAAGTTTCCCTTTCATTCTTTCTTTCCCCCATTTTGCATTGCAGCTGGAGATAAGTCTTAATTTACATCACTCCCCAATTCTGCTATCAAACCAAAACCATCAATTTTTCTTCTTCATCTTCTTCTTCTTCTTCAGTCTCTACCCCGGCTTCAAGCTATGTTGTTTCTTGATAGAAACCCTTCATTTCTCAACCGTCTAGTACTCTACTACAAGGCTTGATCAGATTTTCTTGACATGAACACTTGTATATGTCTATGGTGTTGATCAGATTTTTTTGAAGACTCGTATATATCTTGAGATATTCTTTTTGCATCCATTGATGCTCCAAATATCCCACGTTTGGTGAATCCGACCGCATATAGCCCACATTCCCCTCTCCATCCCTCCGGAAACTCTTGTATTGGAAATCCATCTTTTTTACTAAACATTTTATTCTCCTGCAAAGTTAAAAACCGATTTAATATGACTTCTTAATTGGTAGATATATATAACTTATAAATTCTTAAGAAAAAGGGGAATTTTTAATAAGATATTGATGATGATTGTATTAAAAATGTGGACAAAGGTATATAAATATGTTATCATTATTGGACTACCTTTAGCCAAGATGGTACGTTGCTTTTGTAGCCAGTTGCCAATATTATGGCGTCAAATTTCTCCGTCCTCCCGTTATCAAACTCAACTTCATGCCGTTTTAACCTTCTTATCCCGGAACATACCTTTTGTTTTAAACAAATCATATATCACAATCAGTAAACAGGTTATTAGCATATACATATATGAATGATATCATGTTTGATTAAGATATACTGTACCTTGATGTCTCCGGTTTTAATCTTGGCAAGCGTTCCAACGTCGAGAACCGGAGTTTTGCCAGTAAGATTTTTGAGCTCTAGTGGGCCTAACCGGGGTCGGTTTAGTCCTAACAAAGTGGTGTCCCCGAGGATGAACCGGGAAACAACCAAGAGGAAACTGTCAACGAGTTGGATGGGCAACCATTTGAGTAACAGCATGGACAGCCCAAAAGTTGAAGTACCCAACATCTCTCGTGGTAGGACGTGCACCTTCACCAGTTAAAAAGTAACATAATTAGTAAATATTGCAAATGAGAAAATCGTATTATAGCTGGTATTCTTTTTCTAATATAGAGAGACTATGCTTTTTTCCTTAAGAATGTTTGCGCATGCTCGTGATAATCCCGATAAAGTTGTGTTCTGATAGTTTTCATCCTCTAAATATATTTATAAAATTGTATTTCTGTATTAAAGAAATTAGGTAAACCTCTTTATTCGTTAAAAACTATATTAACACATTGTTGGAACTTGAAGTCACAAGGGCCTCAAAGACAGAATAAAATCTTAGATTAGGATGATACCAGCCTTTGTATTTTCCCGTAAAATTTTAGAATTATTAAACAGATTAATAAAGATCAAATATGGATATTATCAAACTGAAGAGCAAAGAAAATATCCATTATTTTCCAAATTCTTACGGTAAAGCTCAAAAATAGGCAAAACGGTTACATAATTATCCTTCAAAAATCTTCAGTTGATCATGACTGCTTAATCAAAGTTATTTTCTTCCACATATTTCTCTAGAACCTCTTCTCGAAATTTTATATATAACTCAAAACATATTTGTAGAACGGAATATGCTCTGATACAATCTAATGATCTTTTTTTTTTAACATCAGATACGAGCTCACTAAGAGTTTAGAATATCAACATGAATGCAAATAACCTTTTTATGTGATTTTGTTTTTAGCATAGAAGAACTCTACGAAACATGAAAGAGCCATAAAAAAAATATCGAAAACGCATATGAAAAAAATTAATTAAACCTCCCCATTATTATATTTTTTCTCAAAAGAAGAAAGAGACTCACCGCGTCTCTGACAACGAGAGAAGGCTGAGCACCGAAGTTGCATAGATCCAAACAAACCTCCATGCCGGAGTTTCCACATCCAACGACCAAAACCTTTTTTCCGGCGAAATCTCCACCGGTCTTGTAATGACTCGTGTGCTTAACAACCCCCGTGGCTTCAAACTTCTCCATCCCTTCAAACCTAGGGACCACCGGCTCAGCATTCTCCCCCGTCGCAGCCACCAACCACCGGCAAACATACTCCGTCGTGCCCTCTTCTCCCACGCTCACCACGCGCCACATCCCAAGGTTCTCATCAAACACTGCCGACTCAACCGTCTGACCAAACTTTGGTCGTATATCAAACATCCGAGCGTAGTCCTCGAGATACTCGATGAACTGCTGTTTGGTCGGATAAGTAGGGAAGTGGTCGGGAAAGGGCACAAGGGGAAGCTCACAGAATTGTTTAGGAAGGTGGAGATGGAGGCGGTCGTATGTCTTGAGCTGCCATAGAGAAGCTATACAGTTTGATCTCTCTAGTATTACCGAAGTTATGTTTCTGTTTTTTAAACAAGCAGCCGTCGCTAGCCCCGACGGTCCGGCTCCTACGATCACCGGTCCAGTGACAACGCAGACGCGGTGCGGTGACGTCATCATGCCATGGTGGCTCTTTGTGGACGACAAGTAGTCATGTGCTAGTTTACCTTCCATCTCTCTCTCCCAACAAAAATCCATATCAAGAAAGCTAAACCAAGAATCACTTCTCTCTTGCTTTTTTATAGGGACTTGGTAGGTATTTTTTTAAGTACGTATTGTTAAGAGAATAAGAGAAGGGTTTGTAGTGTAGAAGTGGTGGTGGTGGTGGTGACAGTAGTTAAGGGCAAAGGACAGAATGAATAACTTGACATTTATGGTGTGGAGTAAGAAAGTAAAAAAAGGGATGGTAGAAAAAGTGTTTTTGTCAAAATATTTATAGTTTTTTTAGGGGAATAATTAATATTATGCGATCAGAATCAAAGAGGTTAGGGTTTGGATTGAATCTGCTGAAAATGAGGGAGAGAGATAGAGAGAGATCTTATCCAAATAAGAAGAATGAGTAAAGAGAGTGAGAGATTATCGTTGATTTGTGTTTCGATGAGAGTGCAAACCGGAGGATGATCAGAGAACTACGGGTCTCTTAAATCGCCATTAAAACTTATAGGAGAGAGATTGTTAATTGTTAGTTGTGATGTGACTATCTCTAATATGTGTATATATATATGTGTGTATAAAATGTTTAAATATGAGTTTATTNTTTATTTATTTGATTAATCGAGTTCTCCTTGCTTTTTTATTGTCCACCTATGAGATTTTTGTGTTCCAATATACTCTTTCGACTATTTACCTCATTGAAATCTCAAAGATTAATGTAGGTAATCTTTTCGATTGTCTTATGATAATTCAGTGTTTCACTAATTAATATTCATCTGTTTCATCTCAAAATAAGTGTTCTTTTCATGATTTCAATACAAATTTATTAATTTTATATTATTTCTATTTCATATTAAGTATCGTTGTAGAAAATAAATTTTGTTACAAATAAGTGTCATTTTCAACTTTCAATGCAAAATTTATGAATTTTATACTGCAATTTATTTTTTTATTGGTTGAAATATGATTAAGTGTATAAATAACTGTGTTTTATATAGAAAATATGCAAAAATAATTGTTTTATTAATCTATATGTACAAAGTTAAAGAGACACTTAATATCAAATATAGAGAATATATTATTTAATTTTTTATTGGTTGAAATCTGGTTAGATTTATAGGTAATGATGCTTTTATTTAGGAAATATACAAAAATAATTATTTTCTAATTTATGTGTATAAATTTAAAACAATAATTAAAATGAAACAGTGAGGATATAATTTTAATACACACACTTCTTGATATGAATTTAACATACAAAAAATAGTAATTATATTCTTGTCATAATTTTTCATATACGTTTACATTTAACTATCATCATCTAAGATGAACATATTCAACTGTTACCAAAAATAAAATTTATCATAGCAGGAAAAAGTCTAGCCAACAACATATGCAATACTCCCTCCATTTTTTCATTATCAGATGTTTTGAAAAGGAAAAAAAATTGGTTCAAATTACATGACGTTTTCGTTTTTCAATGTAAATTTATTACTTTTTATGCAGTATGAGATTTTATATTCTCCAAATTCCTAATTTTTTATCAAAGTTCTAGTCCATAATTCCATATCATATCTATAGACGATTCTGCTTTTAGTTTAATAACTAAGAGGTTCTATATCTTTAGGCACATACATATTTTCTGAAAGGAAAAATTCCATAAAAAATACTCAAACTAAATTTTGTTAAGTTTTTTAGTATCCAAATTTTTTCACTACCCAATTTAATACTCCAACTAATTATTTTGCCTATTTTAATACATTTTTTTAACTGTGTCAATTTCAATACTCATTATTTGTTTATTTTAATTAGCATACTTATAAGTTTCAAATGATTTTTTTTTAAATCTCCAAAATCTAAGAAAAAATATTTAAAATTTCTAATTTTACTTAAAGAGTTAAGAAAGAATGTAAACAAACTCTGGAGATATTTTAAAAGTTTTCAAAAGTTTATTTATTTTTTATTTCAGAAAAGAAACTAAATTCAATATCTAAAACTTAAATGATTTATTACAAAATATAAGTTTATAAAAATTTATTTACTCTTATCTCTTAAACAAAAAATAAAATTATAATTTTATTTAAAATTTAGAGATTGTAAAATTTTGTTTAAAATTTTATCTATATTTTTTATTAAAATAAACAAAATATTTTGGTATTGAAATGAGCATGGTTATAAAAATCTGTGTATTACAATATGTAAAATAATTAGTTGAGGTATTAAACTGTGTAGTGAAAAAGCCTAAGTATTAAAAAACTTACCAAAATATAGTTGGGTATTTTTTTTTTTTTGGAATTTTCCCTTTCTTAAACGAAGTTTAGATTATGATATGTTTTTTGTTTGGAAGCACATCTCCCAAATATAATTTGAACCTTTGATCTTTTAATTAATAGACCAATTCCTCATTGGTTTTAAAGTTGGCTTTCAAAATATAAATGAATAAGAATATATATTTTTCAGATGACTGATTATTAATATTTAGGTTTATTGCCTAAAGCTACAAAGAAAATTTGTTGCCTATTAATCACTAAATCTTCCATTACTGTTTTCTTGATGAATTATCATATTTTGTTCAAAATTATTTATTAGATCTTCTAGTGGCATAATGCAATTTCTATCTGTGTAAAATATAGTGTTGGTAATTAACTTTGTAATGAGGAAGGTGTCGCGCCTAGGCACAGAGATCGTACAACTGGCGACTTTGTACTTCATGTATTTTCTTCCTAAATGGTATCATTTTATATATATTCTTTTCGCCCTACTCAATAATCATTTTGTTTGGGAAGGTTTTTATTGGGTGTATGTGGACATTATTATTGAAAATAAATTATATGTCAACTGAGTTTTTACTTTTCTTTTTTTATAAAGTGGTGATAGAAAGAATAGTAAAATTGAGGTGCTTTTTTATGAGTGATTAATCATGAGTAACAGTGTCAGAATTTTTGCTTTAATTAGAAACATTATATATCGGGCGACAACATATATATCTGATTAATAATGTAATATGAGCTATGAATGGATGCATTAAATAGTTTCCAATACATAGTACTTAACTATTAAAAGTACTACATTAAGACAAGCTTAAACAAAACTAACTCATAATTTAATATTTTTTTGTTTCTTAAAAAAAATATTTTTCAACTAAAAGACGACTCTTATATCTCTTATTTAGAAGATCGTTCTTAGTTTTTCTTAGTTAAAATCTAAAAAAAACTAAGAACTATCTCTTAGATGAAGCTAAAAACTCTAGTTAAAAAAACTATAATTAATGATGGTCTAAGTATCTAAAATTTGTTAGATACGTATTGGGTTTGTTAGGGTAAACAAACCCATCCGGGTAAAACCAAATACAAATATAATTTTGTAAACCAAGGAAACACAAAACAAAACTATTGATACAGGATTAAGAACTCATACATAAACATATATATATATATATATATAATATATATATATATATATATTGATAATCATGAGAATCTCAAATACTGTTTAGATTCAAGACTAATCTTATGAGGTTCATAGAAATCTAAATTTTTTCGTCACTTGAAGCACTTATGGGTGGTCCATACTCTTCGAATCCATGGTGAAAACTCTAACTAAAATCTATTTACTAGTAGACCAAGACGGTTTGGTTAACTCATACGGATACCAAAAAAAAAAGAGATGAGCTTCTGTATAGCCAAATAACGGCACACCCTTTAACAAAAATAAATAACAGCACAACAACTTCACGAGATTGTATTTCATTGCACAATTAAAGAAGGTAAACCAACTTCGTTATATATTGCATGCCGACTAATTGGCTAATAAAAGAATTCCAATTACCACAGTTCTAAGTTCTAACCTTCTTACCAAGCCTTTTTGCTATTTAATGTTATTTTTCTCTCTTTGGCCTTCGATTAGTATATATCTGCAATAGCTTTCGTCATTTCGGATGTCACAGCGAGAGATAGACTTTATTGGATGGGAATACGAGTGGAGTAAAGATCACAAGCCAGACAACATTACACACACCTAATCCATTTTGTTTAATCGACCACTTCCAGCGTAAACGTAATTAATTAAATAACATCACCTAGTTGAATCTAGTAAGAAAGTTCAAAAAAATCTAGTAAGTAGTAACCTACCCTACCCCCCCCCCCCCGACCCTACCCTACCATGTACCTTGTACATGTGTTTAAAATAAAATATGCTAATATTTACACAATGTGCGATATTTAAAACAATAATCCTTGTTATCTGCTTGATGTTTAAATAAATTTAGTGAATTGTTTAATGAAAGTAGTATAAACGTCTAAGCTGTATATAAATTTTAAATTAGCACTTACAGAAAATTAGTAGTTTGTATTCTATGTTTACAATTGTTAATCCTTCCAAAAACGTATACTTACCGTATCATATACTTCTGTAATATAATCTAAGTTAACAGCATATAGGTAAATATTGAAATTTTCATTTTATGATTTGATATTGCTTATATTTATTTAGTACATATTAAATGGTTAGATATGGATTTTATAATTCTTAATGTATTTTATCATTATGTTGAATAAGAACAAATATTAAATATCTTTTATCGCGACACTTTTTTTTGCTTAGACTATAAATTATAGAAAATAAATGGTATGTTCTTAAAATGTTTCTATTTGTATATAAGGGGATAAACAAGACATGAAGTTTAGATAATTGTGTTAGTGCTATTGCTATATCATAATCTGCTTCTAAATCCGCTTTTTGCATACTGTTGAACAAACAAAAGATATTGAGAAATTTTCTCAAAAAAAGATATTGCCATTGGCAAGTGAATTTGATATAAAGCATTGCAATATAAGGGAAAAAAACAATATATTAAGCTGATCTCTGAAATGGCCATGGGAACTGACTTTTAAGTGTGAGATCAATAAAAGGTAAAAAGAAAAGAGTGATTTAGTGAACTACCCATATTTGAAGCTCAAATTAGCAAAATACCATTGATTAGACATAAAGGACACTGACACAACCATTTGGCAAGGAAATGC